TATAGTTTATTATTTTTCTGTTGATTGTTGAAATGTGTTGGCATGTTTAATATCCATGTAGAAAGGTTTGTGCGGTTCACTTGTAACACATACTGAAGTGTGATTTTGTAAGCGGGATTTGGGAAAAAATGTATGAGAGAAGACTATTTCCACACCCCTCCATAATGTTATGTTGTTTTCCTCATCTAGCTTTCTCAGTTTGGTCCATCCTGTTTTGTGATCGGGATCTTGAGATCAGATAATATTCTGTTGATAGTATCCGTCATGTTGAGGAGTAAAGCAAGCAGACGCACTGATGTTCCTGCGGTTCACAGTGTGGTCTTCTGCTGTCCTTCTGCTAGCATAGATTCAGGCTTAAACCCCGCAGGAGAGTCCTGTGATTGAGTTTAAGTACCTGTATGAGTGCTCACCGTGAGAGACGTGTGTGAGTCGGCTCTTCTGGTCTGTGGAGGGTCTCCCCATCTCCTCTGGGTCTAGATAATGCTCCTCATCCTCAAGCGGATCCTGAGCTGTTAGTTCTGCTGATCTGATATATAATGGTGGAAGAGCACCTCGTCATGTCAGTCTGGACATGCCACATTTTACCATTTTTACCATGCCTGATGATAGTTGGTCAGTGCAGTGCTGTTAAATCTAGAAATCTGCTGATGTCCTCACAGTGCTGAGCAGTAGAGTGTGTTTCTCCATCAGAGTTATCCTGTGGTGTGTTCGCCATCGCACAGTCGTGTCGTCAGAGAAGCAGAGCCTGTTCTGAGAGATTACGATTAGGTGTTTCTGGGTTCATTCTAAAAACACTTGATCCACCAAACTGTTTTAACACTTTAACAGGCACCATAACACCCTTGCTGACCTTTTGTGCATAGGCAACTATTAAACTGATCAGACAAACCTTCTGCATCAGAAAGAGTTAAACATGATGACTTCAGATATTCCCAAACAACACGTCGAGAAGTGTGCTCTGCTGCTGATGCCTTCATTTCTGTTCTGTCCCATTTCCCCTCTCAGGAGCTCCAGCTTTGCTCAGTCTCACCCTAAATAAATGCTAGTGTTGCTTTGTTTAGCACTTTTGGTCACCATTTAATTTCCATACTACCATCTGTGTAATTCAGTCATGTAGACCAGGTGAGTCCAGACCTGTCCTGCAGAGTTTATCATCTGCCCTGTTTAAACCCACCTGAGCAGGTGAATTACGGTATCCAGAAACATCTGCGCAGATGTGCTTAAGCCGAACTCTCAGGAACAGGCTTAGTCCTGGTTTGCATGACTTATAGACCATATAAAATGAGTTCCCTTGTCCACACCTTTGACTGTTCGTGTAGATGTTGTTGCGTGATTTTTCTGCTTGTATGTGCTGTCAGTTTGATGTGACGTGGTGTCGGGTGCTTTAAATCTAATCTCTTTTTCTTTTGATCTCCAGACGGCCCAAATGACAGCTACCCTCCCTCACCCAGGCCACAAAATAATTCGGAAGTGAGGCCCTTACTGGCAAGTGGCCCCTTTTATCATCCGTCCGAGTCCAGCTACACATCTGAATATCACTCCCCACCCCAGCCCAAGCAGCGCCAGCTACACCACAGAGACCCAGAGAAGGCCCTGGGCCCCGGCCTGTTCCCCAGCGCTCCACACCACCAGCCCTGGAACAACCACCCCAGCCCGTCACCATCCCCGGACCGCTCCAAGGTCAAGAAGTCAGAGTCAGAGAGCGGCATCGCCAAGCTCTTCAAGACCCTGAGGAAGGAGGGCGGATTCGGGAGGAAAACCTCCAACCAGGACCTGCAGAGGCGAGGCCGCAAACCGTCCACAGACCCCCAGAGCAGCTCAGGCTCTCAGGTGCGCAGCGGGTCCCTGGACCGCTCCTCCGGCCGAAAGCGCAACCCTTCCCCAGAGCGCCGCCGGGCCAAGTCTGTGGACCGTCGCACCAGCCGCTCCTACAAGGAGTCGTCTCCAGATCGGGGCCCACAGGAACCGCTTGGTTGGACCTCCACCCCTCAGAGGAGCGTCCCGATGCAGAAAGAGCCCAAGACCCCCGGTAGGAACGGCTTCACCTCCAGCACCCTGGGCCGCACTCCTGACCGCGGGCTGAAGAACAGGAACGCTCTGCTGAACAGCTCTCCGAAGACACACCTCAGTAGTGGGGCAGACACACTGCTGCACAGGAAGTCGGACAGCAGCAGCGACGGCAGCTTCCTGGAGGAGGCAGCGACTCCACAGCTGAGAGATTATTATAACGCTCTGAGAGCCGCCAGCGTAGCGGGCCGAGGACAGAACTCTCCGGCAAAGAGACGCCTGTACAAGGAGAACCACGCAGACCTCAGCATCTGACCTGACCAGCGCGGACCGTCCCTCATCCCTCACACTGCTTCCACATCCTGTGTCAAAGAGCCATGTTCAGTTAAAAGATGCAGATGATTCCGTTCCAGAATGTTGCGTTCTCTTTGTGTCCTCTTGTTTTCTCCCAATTCAGACCGACTGAACCAGAGCACAAGCGTTTAACTTTTAGTTCCTTGTTTGTACAATTTAATAGAAACTGAACTCTGATGCTACTGTTTAATTTAGTGATGTATTTAAGCTGTTTATTTATTTTGACTAATTGAAATGTGACGTTTGAGAAAGCATCTTTGCTCTTAGTCGATATCTGACTGTGGTTGTCTGAAGCCTGCACTGGACTGAGGCACGAGCCGCCCACAAGCAAAAAAACACACAAACAAAGCGCAAAGATGACAACAGAAGGGTATCCTGTGGCACAATTTTTTCTTTTGTTGTTGTTGTTGATGTAGACTTTATTTTTGACCATAACCACCTGAAATGAAACTAAAGGCACATGTGCACAGTTGAGAAAACTCGACACAAAGCTAGCTTAAAGCGAATTATTACAAAATGTCTATTTTCTGAAGGAATCAGGTGCTTTTAAAAAGTGGCTTAAAGTGCACTGAAGCTGTATATTTTATCACTATGTGCGAGCTCCAGTCGAGCTTCAGCAACACAGAAACACTGGATATATGTCAAACGAGAGAAAGCCGTCTGCTTTTAGTCCCTGCATATTCTTTTGCGGCCCTTTTTAATTCACATTGATTTTAATCTGAGCTCTGTCCCTGACACAGCAGCCACCTTTACCTCCACAAGTAGACTACCAAAGGCAGGATAGGACCAATCTGTGGATTCTGGCCTGAATGTACAGTTTCTGCACTGAAGCTTCAGGTTTGATCTGAAAGACTCCAGGCGAGATCTGCCAAACTGAGCCACCCGTGTCCTCCATCCGCAACACGTGTTTGACCAGGAACACAAGAGTTTCGGTACTGACCAGGAGCGGGAGCAGGGAATTCCTCCATCTGAATAGTACTGTATCACATGAACGTATCAGCCACTGTCTTTTGTACAGGTTTTTATTACTGTATGTACTTTAAAGCTGTGTAGGTAAGGAAACTGTTGCCTTTCTCTGTACAAATCCACCTGAAGAAGATGTTTATTGTGGAAGACGTTGGGCACACAGGAGCGTTTGCTTGAATGACGGTTTTCCAGGAATATCTGTCGTGATGATCGCCTGCTTTTTTCCTACAGATCTTGTACACTGTCTGTGGTCTCTGCAAAGTTATATGGATTTTAAATGCTTTTTCTGTCGATAAAGCTGTACATGTATATGGTCTAATGTTTTTTTTTCTTTTTACAAAACTATGCATATAAATATATAAATATATATATATAAATATACAAATTCTGCATTGTCCATAGCTTTATTTGACTCATGAAGTTTTAACATTAGTCTCAGTAGACGTGGACTCACACAGTAAAGTTTTTTTCTCTTCTTCCCGTTTGGATGGATCACGATGTATATGTAGCTATCAAAAAGAAGTCTGTGAATGCTATTTTTATTATCAAATAAAGTTTTCCATACAAATTCACCAGTGTGTGCTCAGTTCAGTGTGTGGAATGAATGTGCACACATAAAAACAACAGGTCATAAAAATAAACAAAGATTTGCATAATGCCGAAATCAAAGACAGAATACAAATTGTGATAAACACACTGTCTTGGAATTTGGCACATTTTGTACGCGATATATAAATATATATATTCAGTCTGAGCAAACCTGTTTATAGCTCACCTGAGCTATCTTACCTGCTGTTTTTGAGGCACAAAGTGTGTGTGTTGTGTGCTTGTCGTGTGTGTGTGTGTGTGTGTGTGTGTGTGTGTGTGTGTGTGTGTGTGTTGTGTTCGGGTTTACAGAGACACTAGTGAAAGGCTAGCTATACATAATCATAATCTAATGTCACCACTCTGACCTAGAGTAGGATTAACACATCCATTCTGATCCTGCCTAATTCATCCATACATTTCTGTCATTTCATCCTTCATTAAGCCTTTAATCCAAGGTGACAGTGAGCATCGCCCGTCTTAGACTTGCACTGAACAACAGATTGATCCTGCTGTGATATCTATAATTATTGTGCTGCTAATTTTACCTCTCAAACTTGTATTATTGTCTTGACACTGATTTAAAAGCTTGAGCTCATTTTATATTCTTTAATCATTGATTTATCACACTGCTTGTGCACATACATACATACATACACACACATTGTATTGATTTTAATTCCTAGCACTGATTAAATGTTTGTAGTTACAGGCTTAACTTTACTACAACCCAATTTCCCCCAGAGTTTAACCACTACAGTCCTAACCCTAATGTTCACACCTACGCCCAACTGTTCTTCAACCTCATTAGTAAATTTAAGACACAAAATTACCCCCATGGTCTATTTAATCTACAAGTAGCTCCCTAATAATAATAATAATAATAATAAAATAATTATTAGTATAATCATAATGAATTGGGACCACCAATCTAGATGAAAACACATCTGTCCTTTCTTGAAAGCAGTTGCAGTGGGAATATTTAAGTCACACTGGTAAGCTCTCATCAGTCATCAGGATCATTTATTCAGGTGTTAATACTAGGTTCACATCACTGACACAGCTCAATCAAAACATAAACAGAGCGATTTAATTTGCAAAGTGCTTTTTATTGTTACGTTGCCTTGAATACATGCCTCTACAATCACAACAAAGCCAGTATAAGGAGTCCAGCAGTAAGAGAGTTAAGATGTGTTTCCTTCTGCTGCGTTTTAGGAGGAGAGAACAGGAAGGATCTTATGCACCGTTACGCTGGACTCGCTGGATGATGTACTGAAACCAGAACAGGGTCTGTCCTCTCTCAAAACTGTCTTTTGGTTGAACCAATTGGGTTTTGTAAAAATACAAAAAGGAAAACTGACAGACATTTTTTTCTGCAAGTGGTAGCGGTCGCTCGTTTCCCTGGGCTGAGCGCTTCGTGGTCTCTGTGTGGTTTGCCGTGGGAGCCCAGTGCAGGTCGCTGCTTCGAGAGTGTCTGGAAGGAGAGTTTACGCCGGAGACACGGAGCTGGAAGACACGGACGAAGCCTCGGTCTTGGAGGCGGTGGTGGAGGCGCCCTCTTCCTCTTCGAAGGGGTTCTTGCCGCAGCACAGGGTGGTGATCATGCAGTGACGGAACTGCTTGTTCATGCAGATGTAGATGCAGGGGTTGTAGACGGCGGACGTCTTGGCGAAGAAGGCGGGCAGGGTCATGAAGACGGGCCCGAACTCGCTGCCCTGGTGGGTGAAGATGTACCAGGCCACGCCGGCGTAGGGCAACCAGCAGATGAGGAAGGCGATGACCATGATGATGACCATGCGGGTGACCTCGCGCTCGGCCCGCTGTGTGGTCTCGGACTCCTGCTGCTGCGCTGCCGCCTCCTTCACAGTGCACACCAGCCGGCCATAGCAGAAGAAGATGACTATCAGTGGGATGAAGAAGTGCACGATGAACATGTAGATGACGAAGGACTCGTTGTTGACACCGGGAGTGCGGGTGTAGTAGTCGACGCCGCAGGAGCACTGCATGCCCTCGGGGATGTAACGCGACCAGCCCACCAGTGGCGGCACGGCACAGGAGCAGGCCATGACCCAGGTGAAGGCCACCCCCATGATGGCATGGTTCTCCCCGAAACGGAAGTTGCTGACCGGTTTGCAGACCACCATCCAGCGCTCAATGGCCAGTACTACAAGCGACCATAGCCCCATCTCACCGCCCAGGGTGGCAAAGAAGCCCTCCAGGTTGCAGCCCAGGCGGCCGAACACGAAGTAGCCGTGCAAGGAGGTGTACATGGTGGTGGTGAAGCCGCCGAACACCATGAAGAGGTCGGCAATGGCCAGGTTCAGCAGGATGTAGTTGAGGGGTGTGCGCAGCTTCTTGTGCTCGATGGTGACGTACAGCGTGAGGAAGTTGACGGGGAAGCCGGTGATGATGAGGAAGAACATGTAGGCCGCCAGCAAGCCATATGCCCAGGGCGCCACCAGGTAGTACTGTGGGTATTCGTATGGGCTCCGGACTACCCCGGTGGCATTGGACATAGGCACGTAGAATGCCGGTCCCTCTGTACCGTTCATGGCTGCGGTTGGATGTGGCGCTCAGCCCCTTCTGCGGTAATCTCTAGATGTCTGGGCAGGACTGTGAAGAAACGAGGCAGGACCGTGCTACGACTGGATGGGGCGATCGGACACCCCGCTTTATAGAGACTCAATGGGGATTAGCTGATGTTTCCAGGCTGTCAGCAGCAGTCTATTTAGGCCAGAGATAATAAAATAATCCCAGCCATCATTGCACTGCATATCTGGCAACTTATCAACTTATTAAGGTTGTACCTGAGCAGCAGGTAGATAATAAGAACTTTCTCTGACACACAACAGCACACTTCTACTATGAAGTTCTCCAACACACAGACAGCAACATCACAGTTGTGTTTGGCTGAAATGATTGAAAGCGGAAGCGTTTCAAAAGGAAAATGATATCGACCTTTTCCATGATCAAGTCTCAGAAGGTCCAGTGTGAATACTGCAGAGTGTCTGAGAGGAGAAGGATCTTGTGCGGAGTTCACCTTTAACACTATGTTAAATTAATAATCTAATCCATCAGAAGGCAAAGCAGAAGCTCATCTGCAAATGTCCAGAAACAGTTCACTTGTCGAGATTCTAGCAATGTTGTTTGATTTGGGTTTATACAAAGTGCTCAGTGCATGCTGAAAGTCTACAAGCGTTCGCTTATGCGGGACCTTCCTCAGTGTCCAACACACATTCTCTGAGAGTAGTCCGTCTTTTAAAGTTTTTAATTTTATTCTAAAATATAACTGGAGACAACTGCAGGAAATTACTAAGATATGGTCAAAATATAAACTTGCCACAGTAGAATGAGCGTATTTCAGACATAATCAATTCTGTTATTGTTCTGATTATTTGTCAAACTGCTTTGGAACATTCATTCATTCATTCTTTCATTCATTCATTCATTCATTCATTTTCTTTTCAGTTTAGTCCCTTTATTAATCAAGGGTTGCCACAGCGGAATGAACCAACAACTTATCCAGCATGTTATTACGCAGCCGATGCCCTTTGCTTTGCAACAATAAAGCAGGTTAAATAATAGATCTATACCAGAAGGATCTATCCCAGTGCTCAAGATGAACATTTTAGCCAGGTTGTGCGTTTCATGGGGATGCTAGTCCAGTTCATTACCACCTACGCTAAAGAAACCAGATTTCTGAAAAAAAACATGATTAACCAGCCAAAGATGACACACCGCATCTGATTGAAGCACAAGAATTCAGTGATTAGAAATCTGGTCTGTCTTATTTTAAGCTGTGCATGTTGCAGATTGTGTGGAGTCAGGGGGACTACGGCTACCCTTGGCCCTGTGAAAGGCCTGGATGCTCAGGGCTCAGCATATTTCACACAGGTGGGTTTTATGAAGAGGATTTGCGGATTACAGGAGAGTTACTCTACAACCATGAGCCTTAAGCACATTAGCAGCTTGCTAGTCTGACTACAATCCACACTGCATGGGAAGATGGAAAGGGAAAATGTTCCTAATTGCTCATTATAATCTCAGTATTCACACAATCTGAACAATAACACAGGGACAGCAGCATGTTCTCTATCAGTTTAATGCGGCAGCATTTGGGGAGTTTAGATTTGACATGTTTCAAACATCTTATGTTTAACAGGACACCACTTCCAAACAGAAAGAGCAAACCTGGCACACACTGGCCTCATGATTGGACAAGATCTCTATGCACTAGCGTTCAATCTGATGAGCTCTGCCAGGAATATGTGCTGCTTTTATTGAGTTAATTAATCATTGTTAGGTGTGATATGTTGTGAGTAATGGTGAAGATCTAGATTAAAGCTCACTTAAATGACATTGCTTTGCTCAATTCATGGTGTAGCCCTGCAGGGCCTCTCACTAAACCAAATATACCGTGTGCTGCTTCTGACATGCTGAACCCTCAGATCCTCTAGAAAACCTTCAGGACAAATGAAGTGGTCCGAGTCTTTCCGCTCCGGGTGGTCCTGCAGGTGTCCGAGTGCCAGCATCTCAGCACAGGGGTTCGCCAGGGCTCAGACGTAGGACTTCTCCTACAGGGCATCACTATAATCTGTCACTCAAAGATGTTCAGAAGCTTTTGCTATCACCGACACTGAAGATACTGGACTAATCTGGCAGACATTTCTAATTAAATACCACCTCCTTACTAAATTGCCAGTTGCGTGTGGAGACTCCCTTGCAAGAATGACTCTCGTGCAAGAATGTGTGGGTGTTTCCCAGTGTTGGGTTGCGGCTAGAAGGGCATACATTGCATAAAACATGTGATGGATAAGTTGGTGGACCTTTCCGCTGTGGTGACCCCTGATTAATAAAGGGACTGAGCTGAAAATGAATGAATGAATGAAGTTCTTGTCTTAAAAGAGACTGGCCCTGCTCTACATGCACCTCTACATGAAACTTCAGTCTAATCAAAGCTTCTGTAAGTTTTCCATCGTGACATGAAATTATCTTGTTCAAACCTCTGTTTGTGTTGGGGATCATTTGCTAATCTGATTTTTATATTAAGTAATATTAATAATTAGGCTTTTCATTTAAAATACAGTAAGCCTGGCCTGTGTCCTGGAGAAATGTAAAGAAAAGAAGCAAACAGCAAACACTTTTCATGTTCACTTTATTTTCTACACACACATAATATAAATATATATATACATATATCAGGCTTTTACATATAAATCAGAAAGAACTAGGTTCCAACTGAGAAAACTCCTTTACAGAAAAGCTAACAGTTGTATGTTATTGTTGTAAGGTGTTGTAAGTTATTCTGTCGCTACCTTAACTAAACAGACAGAAGACTGAAGATGATTAAATGTTTTTTTTATTTTGACAAAGAAAATGTCCCCCCAGCTTCCCAAAAGATGGTCTTCGCTGAAATAATGTGTTTGAGCTTGAGTCTACACTACAGCCGTACAATAGAGCGCAGATAGAGGACTGCAGAAACAGCGCCCTCTAGTGGCGACACAGACGAAAAACACTGATCGATTACACACACACACACACACACACACACACACACACACACACACACACACACACACACACACACACACACACACACACTCTGTCAACAGTGATGTCATCTGACAGTTAGATGGATAGATAGATTTGGACACATCTGCTTTTTAAACGCAGTTACAGACCTTAAATCTGATGCTTGCGGTTATAAAAAGATTTCACTGCACTGATGAGGCAGATTACTCCAGAATTCGCCTACATCACAGAACCGTGTCTCCATGTGGTTTTCAGATAAACTCAGTGGTGTCGTGAGCATGGATGAACATGGAGAACAGCTGACAGATGCAGAATCCTCATGGAGGAAAGAAATGAAGGGAAGTGTGTGTCACACAAATGCAGTCTAATTGTCAGAAGTGTATTGATTAAAGTCTGAACTCACCTGCGCTTCTCTGTCATGTTGATGCCTCATAAATACCTGGTTACATCAGAAGATCAACCCAGAAGATCAACACTCCATCATGAGACGCTAACATCTATTTCAGATCACAAATCTGAGTCAGCCAAGTCGTAGAAAGCCTTTAAATGCATGTCT